TTCAGCGATTGTTTTAATTCAAATTTTCGGTATAATTACTGAAATCGACTTTCAATTTAATGGTTGGGTTCTCTTTGTGAACGGAAACGTTTTGCGACACATTTTGTACACTGTTTTCACTTATTTGTTGATTTCTAATGGCGTTCTCCAGATTGTTGCGGAACTTCGGCACAGAACCGATCACTTGACGGAACTCTTGCGGATGTTTCGGTCCGATTGATGTCAACTTCTGGAGCGCGTGATTGTGAAGAACGCGCCGATAACCGCGCACACGACTTATGTTATCGTCTGATAATAGGTTTACCATTAATGGCAGATATATCACCAAAATGTTGGCTTCTATACAACAATACGAATCGTCATTAATAAATAAATATAATTTATAAAATATTAAATCTAAACATACTTTTATCGTTTTGTGCGATTTCAATGAGTACTTCCAGCGTCTGGAACAACTCTAAGACTATTTCGCACTCCACTTGACTGACAAAATCGTTTGTTTTGACATTTTTGACCAAATTATTGAGCAGTTCTATCATTCGCGGCGCCAGGATATGGATGTATGGGACGGACACTTCACTCATTGACTGTTCAAATATGGCTCGTATTGTTTGAATACACTTTAGCTGAACCTAAATAAACAAATAATTATTAATTAATTAATTGTATTTCAAACGAAATAATCAATTCATACGAGTTTTTTGTCGCTTTGAAGCGATTGTTTCAACAGATTAATAGCTGGGTATTGAAGGTTCGGCGCCTGCACTACAGCTGATGGCGCTTTCACTATAAATATGCCGACCGCTAACAGTGTTGTTATCTCATCGGGTTTTGGTTCGTCCGAATCACCTGAGAGTCAATCAAATCACAGATTCAAGCAATTAAATGGATGTCAATTGTAAATCAAATTAAATCTAATTCGTAAAAATGCAAAAATAATTTAAATAAATCATTACCACAACTATTGGTCCAAACTTTTAAGTTTGCATAAATAGAAAACATAAAATAAAAAATATATAATCAAATGAAAAAAATTTAAGTAAATTTAAAACTTGATACTTACTTGTCTTACACAAGTCGAGAATCACAGCTAAAGTGCTTTGTAATAATTCGGTCCACTTTTGGCCGCAGATACTGTTCTTCGCCAAAGAGGATGCGCTCAACGATCGAAGACAACTCAGAACTGTAGACACGGGCTGACTGTCGGCGATGGACACGCCATTCATTTGGGTCGACGACTCCCGCAGAACTCCTGTCACTAAATACAGTATTGACGGCAATATAACAGTACTTCCTTTTGGCGAACAGAGCAGCGGTAAATCACATAGTATTTGAAGAGCTCGACCAATCAGTGCGGCCGACTCTTCCGTCAATCGGAAACTACTCTTCGGGACGGTTAGCGCCAAACCGGGAGTATTGGCGAGCAATGGACTCAATTGCGGCAGTTGTCGGACTAATACACACAAACACACTTCGAGCAAAGCGTAGACCAGAGACTGGCCGGGAATGATATCACCCGACTCTCCGCCCTCACCCAAAGTGGCCAATGCTTTATCACTGTCTTCCGGTTCCTGATTGGCCGGCGCTAACTCCCGAAGCAGTCGTTTTTTCTCGTTATCCAAATACTTGAGCTGCGAATGAGTGACAATTTGGACGATATTGAGGATCAATATCTGACATTCAGGCGTCTCGCGGGTCAGTAGCAGTCGATGCAATACATTACACAACTCTATGGATAACTGTTTATCCTTTCCCAGCAATGATTGGGGAAAGGGATGACACATGAGCTGCTGGAGTGACTTCAGACAGACCACAATGAAAGACAATGGTTCGGTCGACTTGGGGTTACACAACGCCTCCATACAAATGCCAAACAGCAGATGAAAGCGCTCTTCAGCAGAGGAAGCGCTCGATTCGGCGCTCACTTCGAAGCCATTACTGCAGAGCCAGAGGGCGGCCGCGTGTAGTATCGGAGGCCACGACGCCCTATAACGAGGTCTCGCAATCTCAATGGTGTCCGACGTATAGAAGGCTCCGCCGTCGTGAGGCAATTGGCTGGAGAACTCTGCCGGAAGGGTTAGCAGCGCGTGATCTTTCAACGCGTTCAACCAGTGACGGCTCAGGGATGGCAACTCAGGCGCAACCAATTCAAGTAAACTCTCATTCGCCGCATCGGTGGCCAAATCCTTGTCGTTTTCGGCGCTAATCGTTTCAGAATTGGTCACATTATGAGCCATTGACACGACATAGACTTCAGCCCAAGCCTTAAGAATAGCCAACTTTTCAATAGTAGAGGCGCTTTCGTTGTAGAGCCGAGAACTGGAATCCTTCTGGAGTTTAGCCAATGACGAGACCAACAGTTGGTTCACACGACGCAAATCATTGAGATCGCGGGCGACACCGCTTCCGATCCAAGCGCTGCATACCTGACAGGCCATAGCCGTCACATGCGATGGAGTGTCGGCCGAAAAAGCGGGTCTAAGAGCGGCGCCCACTTGTGCCTGATATTGTTCGAGTATCACGTGATCCGGGAATTCAGGTTCGGGTACTTTCGAGAACTTATCGATAATAAGTTGCAGCGCTTTCAAGCCTTCCATACGAAGAGCGTCGCTATCAGACGTCGNGCGGCGCCCACTTGTGCCTGATATTGTTCGAGTATCACGTGATCCGGGAATTCAGGTTCGGGTACTTTCGAGAACTTATCGATAATAAGTTGCAGCGCTTTCAAGCCTTCCATACGAAGAGCGTCGCTATCAGACGTCGCGGCCATAAATGCCATTCGTATTAAATCAGACAAATGGAGTGCAAGAAAATCTTCGGCACCGCCCGTAACGGCGCGTCTCTCGCGAGCGATCGAGAGGTCAAAATGTGTGCCACTATTGGCGGCGTTTTCGCACGAATTGATTATTCGACACAATGTCTGTGTTGTGAATACTCTGGTCAGCCATCGCGGAGATATTGGCGGATGTGTTGACGGCTCTTCACTCGCTTTAAACCTCTCCTCCACGTCCACCATCTCGTCATTGTCTCCATCCATGTCTTTATCGGGCGAAGGAAGTGCCGAATTAGGATCGGCTGCTGTCAACACTTCTCTACACAGACTCAACCATTGGAACAAATGATCGGATCCCAGAGTTTGGACCAAACTTTGAACTATTTTATGAATATTATTAACAGTTATGTCGTCCTTCTCGTAGTCCAACATCGAGACCAACATTCCGGACAACCCGTGATCGCCCACTACTGAGCTGTTAAACAATTTCTTTAAATTATCATTCTTTGAGTCTTTAGTCCACAGATAGACGTGTTCTGAGACTTCTTTCGCTTCTCTTTGCGACAACTGATGCAAACACATCACTGAAGCGCGTCTTAACATAAGGTGTGGACTCCGTATGGCTTCGCAAAGAACCGGTACTAAAGAGGAGAGGTTCACGTGTTTGGGCGCAAACATATGCAACTGTTGCAGACATCCGATGGCTTCCGCCTGAACCAAGAAGTCGTCGTTTTCTTGCATTATAGCGCACGCTATCAGTAACGAAGATCTCGTCGCGCAGATCGAGTTGGTATTTGTCTGAAGTTCGGGACCTATTGTGGTGATCATTGCAGACAAACACTTTCCGATACATTGATGGACATCGCAGTAAGACATCGGCACTTGAAGCAAGAGTTTCAGACAGTGAGATAGCGTGGGCTCAACATATGAGCGGAACATCGGTCCGCCGGAGTCGGCAATCAGAGTCAACGCGTGCAGAGCCCAGACCTGGACCGTGGCGTTGGACATGTCCTGAGCCAACGCCAACAAAATGCTAATACTTGTGTTCAAGTGTTGACTCGAACCCAAACCGCCGACATATCGATGAATACAACCCAAAGCGAGGGAATGGCCAGTCCTGGAGAGCGCATCCCTCGCGCTCTTTAACTTATCGAAACACTGTTGAGCCATCTCTGCGACGAATCGGCCGTCACTTATCACTTGTCCGCAACGGCCTAAGCCCTCGGCCGACGCGCATCGTAACAATGGGTTCGCGTGACTCATTGTGTTCAGCGTTAGGTTAACCACCAGTTTCTTCACCTCATCGGTTCCCAAACTCATCTTATTTTCGGCCAAAATCTAATCGACAAATGCAATGATAATGAAAAACAAATATTGATTTCCAGTAACAAACCGATACCTTAAGAGCGCCCAAAATGGCGGTCAATATATTGATTTGTATGGCCTCCTGTCGGGCGGCCTTCGCGTGTTTAATACACTCATTGAAATGCTTTAACATTTGAATGCGATGTTTGATCGCCACGTATGGGAACACATTGGAAAAGACGAGCGCAGACTTGTCTATAACGGCGACTCCCAAAGGGTAAGGACCGGGAAATGCGATGTCATTCGGTAGTGTCTTATAGAGATGTGTCGTGTCGTGTTCTATAGCACCAGAACTGGAACTGCTGTTCGGCTGCAACTGTTTGGACACAACAATCACACATTCATTAGCATTATAACAGATATACAGAAAATTTCAATAACTTTTAACAATAAAACCAAAAATTTAACGGAAATTAAAGTTAATGAGAGTTAGAGTCGGACTCACAAACTCTTTCTCCAATTTTCTATTCGGTTCCATCTTTTGAAGCGTTTATTAATAGAGAATTTGTTAAGAATTATGAAATTGTTTTCAATGAAAAGCAGATCAAAAGAGAGCAGAATTAATACACTTTTCAATACCTGATCCTCAATAGCCTTGTGGTCGGTCTCCTGAAGCCATGAGCCGAGTATAGTGTCGTCATCCGAGTGACAAAAACTCCTCAACAATGAGCTCGTAGTGTTGGCCACGTTTTCGGTTAGCGTAAACTCCGATACTAATAGTCTCAACAGATTTGTATAGCAATTGTCGTACGATTGCGGCGGTAATAGAAGTAGCGTTTCGTAGAGTCTGAGTCTAACCATCGCAGCGCTCGCCTTAACAGACGGGCCGTAACTCTTGAACACAGGACCCAAAGCGGCCAACATTGTGAGCGCCGACTCGATTGGTGTGAGTAGTCGTCGGTTCACTTCATCGGTGGCTAATTTGTCGCAATGGGCGAGAAAGCTGGCCATTGCCGACAGAGCGCCCGCTCTGTTCTCGAGCGTTATCTGCCACGTGAAAGCGTCGCCCCGAGCCTTCTCCGACTCGAGCTCTTTCGACGAACGCGG